GATCTGTCCCGTTCTAAATATTTCTAATCAAAGCATTTTCGTATATGTTCCTACGGAACGCAAAGCAAAGGTTAGTTGACGCGGGGGTATAGCAAAGTGGTAGAGCGTTCGACTGCAGATAGAGAGGTCCCCGGTTCAAACTCGGGTGTCCTCTTCTTCAGGGAAGTAAAGAAAAATATTTTTCTGAGATTTTGAAGGCGGCAATGATCTGTAACGTTCTGTATATTTCTAGACAAAGCAATTTCGCATCGTAAGAATTCACCCTCATCCTATTTCTCTAACGCCCCAAAAGAAGTATAACTTCAATAATAAAAGGAAGGTAAAAAAATCATTCTAAAGTAACTTCCTTAATTGTTTCGACTTTTTGTCGAAAGAATAGGCAAATTTCGAAAAATCTGAAGGAAGTAAAAATTTCGTGCTTAAACCTCAGGCGATTTTTCTGTAAAAGTATTTTCCCATCTAGCATTCTAAGTTGACGGGGAAAATGAAATAATTTTATTTCTTAACCCGCGGTCACTCGCGCCTGTTTTTGCTACCTTCGTCACTCGCGGGGTGTAGAGAACACCCCAAACTTTTTTAACACGCGTATTTAATTATGAAAATAAAAATTAAGTCATTATGATACATATTTATAAAGTACAAGATATTTTTTGTATTATACAAATAAAATTATTAAATTTATTGCACACAAATGAGACTAACATTAATTTAAACTAAACATACAAAATTTTCCTTTTAAGACACATAATTTTATATTTTTCATAAACCAGTATATAAAACGTATATGCCAGTAATAAATATACTTTATAATTAATGAGATAATGATTATAGAAAGTATAGAAAAATAATATTTTAATCATTTTCCAAACTTTCAGAGCAGACTGTATACAAATGCTCAACTTCTCGCGGGAGTTCTCAGCCCTCCAGATAAACTTTTGAAGGTCATTACATTCCAATTGTTCCTTAAAGAGGGATTGCATCACGCCTGAAGGTTCAATGACCTAAAATGTGCAGCTACAGAAAAAATCGTGGTTCTGCACATTCTTTTTAGAAATCTAGGAGGATTTTCTTGTTGCTGGGGTTTACAGAACACCCCGCGCGAGTGATCGCGGGTTAACATTGATTTCTTTGGAAACGAAAATTATGAAAATTGTATAAATGTTTTACTAGAAATGCAAACAATTCTTTCTCATTCAATTATTTTTGGAAAAAAAAAAATTAAAGTTTTTAGGATTATTTAAAACGGGGAAAAAGTTGACCTAAGTATTTTTCCGTGTGGAAATGTTTAAGAATCCAGAGTTCGTAGCGTCATCGATTGTTATATGTTCAACACAAGTATGTGGTTAAAAAAAAATTCCATTAACGAGAAAAAACGTTAATAGTACAACTTTAACAATTTCAAAAGCCTTATATTACAGTCAAAATACCAAAATAATTAAAAGAGAACTTTTATAAACAATATTTATTTCACCTCATTGATAAGGATTCATATTTTATAGACATCACACACTCTAAAGCAACACGAGGGCTCTTGATCTCGCTCAAAACACACACGAAGGGCCACACACTAAATTTCTCCCCTATGCCAACACTGAACGTGCAGCAGCCCTTCTGCACGGCGAGTATTCAGTGACGAGTTCGAAACCATGACCATTATTTTACATCAAAAGAAAAGAATATTTAAGAATAGATTTATATACTAGCATATATTAAAGCTGAATGAATTGCAAACAGTACATTAGAAAGAATACTTAAATTTACGAAAATTAGGAAGATTTTGAATTTTTTTAAAGTATGATTTTTTTGTTTTGAGTTTTAAAAGAATTGTTATAAGTTGTATAAAAATAATGTAAATCCTCGTGATAATATTGAACATTTATTGCGAAAAAAGTTGTATGTTGACATTTTGCAGTATAAAGTATTTCTCAAAAAATATCTCGCATACATTCAGTAAAATGTTTAAACGCAAAATCAAACATTGATAGCTTGCTTGATAGCAGATGAGAAGTAATTTTCCCTTCTTTAGAATAACCTCGAAATTAGAAAATATCTCATGAAGTAAAACACATTGAACATTACAAACCGCCATATTAGAATATCAAATATATATATAACTTACAAAGCAAAAGTAATGACAAGCTTTTTATTCACACAGGATTTATCGTCACACACTCAGGTTTTTGAATAAAATTAAGTGGAACTGGAATGCAGACGATTGGCAACAATATGCATTTAAGGGCTAAGAAAATAACGGCTTTCTACGTATCAAGTATTTTTCTGCGCCCTTCTTTCCTTTAAGAATTTTAAAGGCTCAAAAGATACATCCTTTTCAAAAGAACAATATTATTTCCGACAATATGAATGGAAAACATATATATATATATTTATATTCCATTACACATACTTTGGTTATTAGAACATTCCATTATTTGTCCAATCTATAAACACATTCTGTTATTAATGTATCCGAAACTTTCTAAAAAGCATCCAATTCTTCGCAGTTATTTTCATTCCGAAGCTCATCGCAAAAAGAGCAACAATGACATAATAGAAGAAAATACCACTTGCAATGCTATTTAGTTGCCAGTCCATTTTGTAGCGGAAGTTCAATATTAGGAATTTATAACTCATCCCAAACATGCCTCGTTTTTAAAAGGCTGAGCAAATAGAGCAACGGCCTCTTAGGAGTCGCTTCGAGGGGTTTCTTCGATAGCTTTCAGGAATCGCTAGGATTCGGGGAGTAATCCTGTTTGCAAGGAAAGAAAGAGGAAAAAGAAATTCGCATTTTGGCAAGAAAAATGTCTGCTTGTCGGGAGGAAGGAAGCGATGAATTATTTCTCTACCTCCTGGAGGGTGGACGTTGTTTTTTGTACCCCATTATCAGACGAGGGGATTGAAAAGAAGGGGGGGGGGCGGGAATATTCCCGAAGTGTTCTTGGAAATGTGTAAGTAGTTATTGAACTGTGTAATTGTTGAGTGAGGTAATCGATCAGCGTGTGAAAATGCATCCTTTCGCGCAATTCTTTTAGTCCAGTAGCTGATGGAATATCGCACGTTTTTCTTCATCCAAACGGAAAATGTACCCGAGAAGCCAAGCAGCCTGTTGGATAACGATTGAAGTTTATTGCCTTCCGGGAAATTTCGTATTTTTTTTTTATAGATTATTACGTGTTTTTTTTTTAATAATTTGCGTCATTTGTTTTGTTTGCAGCCGTCAAGGAATTATCGAGAAACCCATTTTTTGGTCGGAAAAAGTTTTAGTTGGAAAAATTTGGTAGGTAATATACGCACACATTTTGTAAAAAATAATTTTACGTGGTTTTTTTTAATAAAAAAGTTAATGTTTCTAGTTTAATTTTTTTTTAAAATTAAGATTCTTTACAAAATACGATAGTTGTTCTAAATAAATATTCCGTTTTAACTCTATAAATGTAATTTTTTATCTAAGTAATACAAAAATAGTTATTCGTGAACCAGATTCGATTTTCAAATCATTTCATCAGTTACAGTCTAAAGTCAGCCTTTAATACACTTCAAAAAAATTCTGTATACTATTGTAACAAACAAAACGCTATTATCTGTAGAGATATCCATAAGGGATCAATTCGAAATGGGAGAAATATTTTTTCAAAAGCTTTGGAGGTTTAGATAATACTACTAATAGTTCCAGAAACAAATTTACATGTGTGAATGGTCTTATGACACAACATTAGAACCAAAAGGTATTCAACAACACGTGAAATTATACTTTATTAAAATACAGAACACAAAGTCTGTTAAGGAAAGTAGAAATTAAGCATAACATATATAATTCTCAAGTGCTTAATTCAAAAGTTTTACACTTGATGAATATCCGTTCAAAGAAATACATTATTTGTACACATTTTTTCGAAACATTAACAGAAATTGTTAGGAATTTTCCCTGGATTTTTTACAGATGCATTTACCATCTACGAAAATTGTGTTTTGTTTCCAAAGTTTGTAAAAAAAATTAGCAAAACTACCTCTCAAAGCGCTATTTTTTGCAAAATGTCTTTTCTACAAATTGTTTTAATATTTGAAAGATGTAGACATTTTGCTACTCAACATATGGATATATTTCAACACGATAATGGTGTAAGTAACATGCATATACATTATTTGTCAAGTAGGATGTAGTTTTAGCGAAACTTACACAATATTCGGATAGGGTAAATAGATTTCAAGAAGAGCGTCGCTGCAATGCTACTTAAGGTAATAGGGAAGTAAACTGAAATGCTAAATTTATTGATTTGATTATTTACAAGATTAGTAATAATTAGAAATTTTCTAAATATTTAAAAGGTGTTTTAATTTTTTAAACGAAAATATACATAATTTTTAATTTTATTAAACTTCTAAAATGAATGATTTATTTTGTAAGCGAAAGAAAAATATAACTGTAACAATTAATAATGTTTGCTTTTTTAATCTCGCATTTGTGAATCGAATTGCTCGATTTTCAACTGTTAAAAGTTTTACACACATTTCTCATTTTTTCTCATTATTCATTTGCTCAGAAAATTTCATAATCAGTTATGAGCTGTTTACACCTTTTCTTTGGCGAGGGGGATATTGAATTTATCCACTAGAAAACTTAAGTCATTCTAATTATTACAAAGCTGTTTTACCATAAATTATTGTTTTAAGCAATTTGTTACTGAGTATAATCCCTATATGATAAATTACTTTGTTTAATTGCAGTTTTGTTAGCTACAAAACCGTTTAACGTCCTTCAAAAGGCATCTCCTCATGTCACGATGTCAATATCACATGGTATTTTTCAAGCACTTAAAGTATTCTTTTAATTTTAAATTTTTGAAGTTATTCTTTTGGGGCATTAGAGAAATAGGATGAGGGTAAATTTTTACAATGCGCGCACACCGTCACGGATGCGAAAATCCTTTGTCTAGAAATATACAGAACCGGACAAATCATTCCCGCCTTCGAAATTCTCAGAAAAATATTTCTCTTCACTTCCCTGAAGAAGAAGACTCCCAGGTTTGAACCGGGGACCACTCGATCCGCAGTCGAATGCTCTACCACTGAGCTATCCCTTCGCATCAACGAACCTTTGCTTTGCGTTCCGTAGGAACGGATACGAAAATGCTTTGATTAGAAATATGCAAAATGGGACACATCATTCCCGCCTTCGAATTTCTCAAAAAAATATTTCTCTTCATTTCCCTGAAGAAGGGAGCATCCGGGTTTGAACCGGGGACCTCTAGATCTGCAGTCGAATGCTCTACCACTGAGCTATACCCCGCGTCAGCGAACCTTTGCTTTGCGTTCCGTAGGAATGTATACAAAAATGCTTTGTCTAGAAATATGCAGAACGGGACAGATCATTCCCGCCTTCGACCCCCTCCCCATATTATTGGTTCTATTGTCTCTGTGCGGGGGTGGTTAAATTTATTTAAATCGTGATAATCTCAGGTTTGGCTGGTCCGATTGACTAAAAGTTAGTATCGTTCAACTCTGCTCTTGGCCGCCTTTCGTCCTTGGCCCAGCTTGCCTTGCTAAAGATTTTTAGAAAGATTTTAATCTTGTTACGCCAAAGAAGTATAACTTTTTACGTGCGTACATAAGTACACACACACACTTTTTTTTTAAAGTTTTGGGAAATGTTTACAAGGTATACAAGGTCACTCGTATAGTCAGAATGTCGAAAAATGAGAACTCTTACATGGTCAAAATTTACCTATCCCCCCCGAAAAAGAAAAAATAACTAACATTTACTTTACCAGTTTTACAATTTCCTCAGTCCCCCGCGCGTCCCATTCCGCTGAAAGGGGAGAATAGGTAGAATGGTCATCGGGGCACATTATCTCCGAAGAGGTCTTAATCCCCTATCTTCAAATTATGGGGTTGACATTGACAGATAGAGCTTGCAGTGATATATTTAGAGTTGAAAAAAAAATAAAAGGAAATAACTATTAAAAATGATTGCACTCTGAATTTAAGGAAAAATTGCTGGAGCTTTTAATGAATTAAAATGAATAAAATAAGACAAAATTTTAAGAAGAGAGTATCATTAGCCTGCGTCAGCCAATATTCATTCTCAAAAGAGAAATGAAATCACCAACTTAATCTGGATTGAGAAAGGGGAGAACTTTATTGAAAGGAGTACCCGAGAGAGAAATTCATTGCCCATCTAGGGAATCTTTAGACAAATATTTGTGCCAATTTTTCGCAATATATATATATATATATATATATATATATATAGCCAACGTCATCTAGATGTCATGTAAGGTGTTACTTTAATGGCAGGCCTTTGCCTTAAGAGAATCTTTCATATTAAATCTGTAAAATTTTGTCTGAATTCGATTCTTAGAAAGAAAAGTTAATATTGGGGTGAAAATATCGTATTCATTGTTTGACATCCGATAGGATTCCACTTCCCCCTACAAATAATCGAAAATGCGGAAACAACTCGATAGAATATCAGTTTTCCAAATAAAGTGATCTTAGGGCCATTACTTGCTAATTATCCATGATAATTAGTTCATCGTGAAGAAAGCATAAATAAAATGACGTATGAGAGAGGCAATTAAACTGAATCTAATGGGACACTGATTGAATCAATAAATGTTTCACGCTTCGTTAAGTCTACTTTTATTTTTCCGCTGTGTAAACATATCGTTGGATGGTGAACAAAAAGTTCTCGTCGATTTCTGCCTCCGAGGACGAAAATAGGAACTATTTGATTAAAACCCTACACTGACCCAGATCGCGCATTGGCTGCTTCATAACCGATTTCCCTCGGAGATAACTTGATTGTTTTTAAAATGCAAAAAAGAATATCCCTACTCATTTTTTTATCCTTCAGTGAATTTAAAAGGGAGCATCCATGCAGAGTGAATGCCTTCTCCATTGGGCCGAGCGGGCGGTTTGTTAACAGTCGGTGTTATCGTGCATTTCGGGAAGCAATCTCTGTCGAGCTGGTGAAGCGGAAAAGGGGTTCTTCGGGGGATAGGCAGGAAGGAAATTTGGAAAAGGATGAAGCTCCATTTAGGCCTGGCAAAGATGCATCACACTTGCGAACAAAGACAAAAATGTCTTTGATGGAAACAAAGGGGGAATAAATAAAGTTTCATAAGACTTTATTCATTCCCTTTTTTATCTATCGTCATTTTATTTATATTTAATTACGTGAATGTATTGAATTACTTTTGTTGGGTAATAAATGCATCCTATTAGGTTCCCACACGCAATATTAAAACTGAAGATATTATTTAAGAGTTATATGTGCCGCCTGTAGTAATATTAATACAGTATTCGGAGTCTATGGCTATAATGCACCGATGAAGTGAAGTACGGGTTACAGTTCTAATTTAAAATGAGCCATAACAGAAGTTTCAATATGGATTTTCTATGAGAGTGCAGTTTATGACACAAAAATAAAATAATACGCGAAGTAATATGCGACTTGAAATAGAGCATTTGGTTATTAAGATTCAGATTTGTAATTAACGGGATTGGTACAATTGAAGAGGAAACATTTTGCTAATGAGAAGCTCACATTTATTATATAGAAAACATAGCAAAAAAACAAACAGGACAAAACAAAGATATTAACATACGTGGTTTACTTGAAGTTCACAAAAGCAGTCTTCTTATAGCCGTGGTCAACCTGAAGCTATTAAAACACTCGGTTTACGTGAAGTTCACAAAAGCAGACTTCTTATAGCCGTGGTCAACCGGAAGCTATTAACACACTCGGCTTACGCGAAGTCCACAAAAGCAGTCTTCTTATAGCCATGGTCAACCGGAAACTATTAGCCCACTCAGTATACGTGAAGTTCACAAAAGCAGTCTTTTTATAGCCATGATCAACCGGAAGCTATTAACATCATACGATTCTCGGTAAAGGCTTTGCTTATTGATCCACATACGAGGGGGATGCATCATCCTGATTTAAAGCTGAAGTCTTAGGGAGATAAGGTTATGGTTCCTGTTAGGTGAGTAAAAATAAAAATTATTTATCGCGGGAAGTCTTGGAGGGCTCAAGAATTAAAATCCTTGGAGAAACACACACAACTGGGATACTTAAATATGTAAAGAAAATAGAGTTTGATGTTTTATCAACTAACCTTCTATGGACGATTGTTTATTTTTTCCTGGCATTTTGTTTCTTAGTCTCTTGTACGTTAGATCTAATTTGTCGTACCCTAATCCAAGCTCCATGTTATTCAAAAATACTTTAAAGTATTTTGGTATGTTGCCTCGAGTGAGTGAATATTAACGTCGCACTGTTCAGCTACACGAGGGCTTTTGGCGACGGACCTCGTCATTTTGAGCCATGGTCAAGTGACAAGGATGAAACATGAACTGGAACCCCCTCTCCTAACTACCACACCAACGGAAGGATGCTTGAGCTCTCCACAGATTTAACGTGCATCGCTCCCCTACACGGCGGGTCTTTAGTGGTACCGGGCTCGAACTCGTGACAAGGCCAGCCACGATCCGTTACCTTGACCACTCGGCTACCGCGGCCACGTATGCTGCCTCGAAGGTCTTAGACTGGGTGACTGGAAAATGTGGCACATTTTCCTAATTATCTGACACTCTTCTTCATCTTTCACTTGCTTGTGGCTACGGGTTCGAGTTCTGGTGTCCCTGAAGGTCCCCCGTTAGACAACTGAATACATTAGAAAGCTCAAAGTCCACTCGTTGGAGTAGTATGGAAGGTACGTGAAGGGTGACAGATCAGGTGTCGTCCCCGTCACTTGACCGAATTTCAAAATGACGAAGTCTTCGTATTGCTTTATAGTGTGTCGTTAACATAACTCTCACTTCCTTAACAGGAAACTTTGACGTCACCCGAACAAAAGATTATTCTGTAATTCTTAAAATGAGAAAAATAAGAATTATATACTTAACAGGAGCTATTACACTTATTAAGCAAGACTCTAGTGTTTATGGAATCTAACCATATGCGTTATGAATAAAGGAATTATTTGTGTAGCATTAATGTAAGTAATCATCTATCGCTTGTAGAAATAGAAAAAAAAGACGAACAGCTCTTCTAATTGTTTCAATGGCGATCGAAGGCCACATTCCAACTGATTTGAATATTCAAATCAATTGGAACCTGGAAGCATCCATCCCAAATAGCTCTTGTAGAACATTATAAATCCACTTTAAACTCAAACATTTTGTAGAATACAAACATGTTGGCTTTCAAATATCAAAAACACCGACATGCCGATTTTAAAGAACGCAACAAAATATGTATATTTTAAACCATATAATAAATCCTTCAATTTTCTTAAAAAGAAATTTGATGTTAACTTTCAAAATTTTAATCCATCAGATTTCCAAAAAATAACTTTCAGCACCTTTTCAAAGTTTCACTTCCACATGGAGTGTTAATTAGATATCTGAAAACATTGTTTACAAATTCTCACTTTGTTACAAGTGATAGAACTTTAAAATTGATTCACTGAAGTTTCAAATAATCCAAAATGTCTGTTGCAATCTTTTTTTCTTCATAATTTAAGGGGGGAAAATCACTCTTTTTCCCTAGGAAACCCATTGCTTTTGTCCGTCATAGCGAAAGACGAACCTTTGCAAAGGAGAAGCTTCCCATTAATTGACGTCTGGCAACCCCTCAATTAGGTCCGAAATATTTGCTAAATTACTCCGAGGGTGTGTCAATCAGACCCCGTGTCACCCCCTCCCAGTCTTTCTAGAGAAGCGAACCTATCGGTATGAGAAATAGAACCATCTGACTTCGAAAGGGTCGTGGAAATAGTATTAATGGCGAAATAACAATTACTTCCAAAACTTTCATGAAATTTCAAATGGATCTGTCACTTTTTTGTTTTCTTTTATTAAATCAATGATATCACGCGTCACACTTTCGGGGAAGCTTCACTGTTCTTTAAAAAATTCGAACTTTACGGCAAAAAAAGAAAACTTTCATGAGTAATTCATTTTTAAGTTGGATCTATAAATCATGTATGAGAAACATTCAGCTCAATTTGTCATAATTGCTCCTAGTGTATAAAAAAATGTTTTAAAAAAATGCATTTAATTTTTCCTACGCTTTGAT